TGCAGTTGTTGTACAACTTTGTTTTAATTAACTATATATATAACGATTGGTTTCGAGCATCTCTTCCATGGTTCTCCCTTGGTTGCCACCGGATTGTTGTGATTATGCGCATCGCTTCCTGCTCGATTCGCGATCGGAATCTGCGTGTACGTACAATTCGGCATATTTCGCGGTCTACGGTCGTCAGGCGCTAAGACGCATCAGGACATTTTATATGTGAGGTAAACCTGACTGACTGGATATTCTCCTTTACCGGTTCCTCCATAGTCCCTTGAACTGATGCTTCGCTGCCATACAACCATGATGACCTATGGAATAAAGAATAATAACAGGAAGGGGGACTTACCTGCAAACCTTAATTCCCTAAGCAAACATTCAGGGTAAAGGTGCCTACACCTAAGGTTAGCAACATATCGTCACAAACAGCTAGCTATGGTGTAAAGATAAAGCGTCATCGACGAGACAGCTTCCTTGCGGCTTTCAGTGCCTCGCGTCATACTCAGCCATTACCCCGAAGATAACTCACACACACACACACACACTTTAAACAGGCACTCCGAGTAGGAGACGGCAGCAGATGTGCCACTGGTCTCGTTTGCGAGCCATGTCCTGTAAAGTCTCGAGCCAAGCACAAGGGGAGCCACGTGGACTCCAGTCTAGAGGGCGAGACGGACCGGCGGCACGCAGTTTGGTCGTCAGTGACTTCATTTCACGCTGCCAAGTCAACTTCTGTCCATCTCGAGCCTCGCGCCACCATACACCTGGCAGAGTAAACAAGGCCCTTTTAGGTAAGCAGTGACCAGGCATACGTAGCACGTGCCCAAGCCGACGCAGCTTTTTCAGTGCTGTGTATTGTTCTAATGAACTGGCTTGGTTATCATTGCCTAGTACTCGTTTAGTACACGGTGATGCCATTTGACACCAGCAGTGCTCGGGGGACAACGATGATCAAAGACTTGAAGACGCCTCAGATCTTCAGACCGAAGGGGCCGTATTTCACAACCATAGAGCAGAACGAACCTCACTCTGACTTTGTATACATGGTCTTTCAGATGAAGGGAAACTCCCTTCTGTCGCCAAAGATGCTGCAGGTTCAAGAAAGGAGCTCTGGCCTTTGCAATGCGTGAACTGACTTCAGTTTCTATACGCCCATCATTGCTGACGCAGCTGCCAAGATAAGTGAATTAATCAACCACCTCGAGTTCCTCGTTAGCATGGGTCATAAAATGGCTGGTGGTTCTGCAGCAACACTTTGCACTTTGAAGGTGCGAAGTGTATACCAAATAATGGGACCACTCTGAACAGGCTACTCAGGGTTGATTGTGCCGCCGTAAAATCGTCAAAAACAAGACGATATGGTCCGCATAATCTAGGTCAACTAACCGTTCACCAGGCAGCACTTCAACGTCTACATCGGGAGATTTCACAAGGGAACACTCCATGCTAGAATCCACGACGAAATTGAACAAAAATAGGGAAATCTGACAACTCTGACGAACTCCATTTGTTGTCGAAAAGCTATCCGATAGGCTACCGTAGAACCTGACGCTGCCTGTACTGTTCGTGCATAGCGCACGTAAGATGGTCACATATTTCGTGGGAACACCTTTCCGCGCGAGTATTTCGAACAGAATGGATCGATCGACTGAATCGAACGCACTCTTGAAATCGAGGAACACATCCATTGTCGGTCTGCGGTATGTGTGATGCTACTCTAGCACCTATCGCAGAGTGAATATATGGTCTAGACAATCACGTCCTGGGCGGAAAGCTGCCTGCACTTTCTTAATCCGGGATTCCCATTCGACAGTGAGGCGACGAACGAGAATCAAGGTCAGTACTTTTGTCAGAACTGGCGTTAGGCTAATACCCCTGTGGTTCGCACAGTCTGTGCGACTGCCCTTCTTGTATATTGCCACTGTAATCGATTCGCTTCAATCAACTGGGACACTCTTCCTTCCAGATATGTTCGAATAGGGAGGTCAGTGCTTTGCAAAGGACCTCATCTTCATCCTTACATACTGCAAGTGGAAGGCAATCCGGGCCAGCGACACGAAAACGATGGAGGGCTGTGATCGTGTTTCGGACCTCAACCTCCGTTGGATCCTTTAGCTAACCGTCCATGACTCCTCCTGCATCACCCGAGTAGGAAGAGGTCCGGGAGTAGGGGGGATAGCTGAGTCGATCTTGAAAGTTGTCTGCCCAACGAGCCATACGGCACTCCTTATTGTGTATCAGTGCACCCGCGCAGTCTCTGATTGTCTCACTGACACCTGGTTTGATGAAACTGGTGGTGCGGATCAGCTGGGAGAGCTTGCGGTAATTGCCTAATGTTCCCGCCTGCTCCATTTCTTGAGCCCGACTGGTCCACCAGGCTTCCTTGTTGACACACAGGCTCCGCTCTACTTCGCGCCTAGTTGCCAGTCTGGGCACATCGTGCTCAGAGCCAGCCGGGAGTTTCCTTCTGGATTCCAACAGGTTCACGGACTTCTCTGATATCCAGTGACTGATGCACTGACGATTGTTAATGCCACTAGCATGTGCTCCTGCGTCGTGCATGGCGGCCGAAATCCTCTATTCCACCGAAGCTCAATGTCATTAGGAGAAGACTGCGGAAGTTCGGTACTCAGTACGTCTTGATAGGCAGGCAGCTATCGCATTCCTTAGCGCCCTGTCCTTCTCAGCAACACCTATGAAAAGTAGATATGTTCGCGAAACTATGTGTATTATTTGGTCCACACCGACCTGTGGTCAGTGCTACACGCAGCTGCACGCAATACACCCGTCATGAGCACTTCACGCTAGCGTACAATGACAGTCGAATAAGTGAGCTGACCGTGGCTATATCGCTCGCATCCAATGCAAACCGTGAGTTCGTGATCGTCAGGCTGTGAGTGACACAGAATGAAAGCAACCAGTGTCCGTTCCTGTTGGCTGAACCAATACTATACGGACTGACTACGCTTATCCACACTGCGGCATTACGACCGACGCCTCCGTCGCTTCTCGGCACAGACTGTATCACGCAGAACTGTAAACCTGATCCCTTGTGTCATTATGATAACTCATGGTTAAACCATACGTGCCAATAAAAGTGGCAAATTTGCTTATTCTAAGTCGCAGCCGAAGTGTCATCAAGCGTGCGCTGATGTCAGTCGGTTTTCCCACCAACTGGTCATTCAGACGGTCGGATAATGCAAATCGGACCCCATGTTCACGTCGTGCTGTGGTGGCGTTTCTCATCGAGTAAAACGTGTGATCGGCACTAGCCTCAAGGAGCTTGCCTTAGTAAGCTAGCCGTGTTTCACTGAGTGCGGCTACATCGATCCCCATAGCGCGTGAGTTCCATCGCGACCAGCGTCGTGCGTCCCTCACTCAAGTTCCGGTCGAGTAGTGTGCGCACGTTCTCTGCTCGCGTCTGGCGCAAAACTGTATCTGACATCACTCGGTGCTCCTGCTGTATGTGAACAGCACTTCGAACGTCAGTTGGCAAAGACGTACGATGACTGGCTACTCCATCCAACACATGAACTGCGCTGTAGTAGCCATGTCATTTCCTCCGTGCGAGAATTATGCATACACGAGTTAAAATTTTCGGTAATTCGAATGCTTAGACACAGCCGGCTACCTGTTGCTGTTTGACTATCTTAACAAACCCTAGTGCATCCGCTCAGTTTTGGTAGCATGAACTTGTAAAGCCCTAACCAGAATGAGCGCCGCTCTGCGTCATCTGCTTTAGCAATGCTTTTCTCGCGATTAAGTTTAGAATCATCGCGCGGATGACACGTCATGTGTACTCTGTGAGGTTGCTCAACCTGCTGATGGTATAGCGGACGGATATCTCCTTGTTTGACTGGCCCACTCTTCGGGGGATGATGGAGTACAGAGGAGTGAAAATACTTATTCGTTTGGCAAGGCTTTTTTAGATATGCCGATAGATGACCCGCGGTGCGAATGACTGTTCATCGTGTGACGATTGCATCGGCCCTTTCTTGGATGTCCAAAGGTGCACGTGATCAACTAATGTCCCCAGTGGAGAATTGGTCATCTCAGTCCGCAATCTATTTGTTCTGATCGAATAAAGCTTTTCAGGTTAACCAACTACGAGTTTTCTAACTAATTGTCGCGCGTCAAATCCCAGTTTATCGTGCAGATGTTTGCTAATCACACAGTCATGAAGTCAGATGAGTGAAGACTAGTCCTGGACTACTGCCCCAGAAGAAACGAATCAATGTCAGGGAAAAGACAGATTTACGCTGACCTTCAGATGTGACCGACACGACTAAGTCCACAGATAATTCACACTCCCTGACGGAATAGCCGAAAGATGATATTCCGGAGTGTCGGTTCTGGGAAGCTCAGAATTCCCAGGAACAGACGAAAAGAAGTTCAACACGTCGCAGTAGAAAAGCAGAACGCGCGGATGGTAGATTGAGAAGAGTGTATTGCATAAGAAGTCAGTTGAATTAACGGTACAATACTGATTAAAAAACGAAGTGAGACAAAACGCAAAAAATGAATAATCAGCGATCACTACAAACTCACTGGACCAGCCCCTTTCACATAAATTGTGGGCATTTCCTAACTTGCATAGGTGGCTAGCAAGTGTGAAAAGCACTTAGGAATGTATCTTAACAGATGATAATGTGTTCTGTTGCACTCTGTTTTCGTACATTCTGGACTAGATTTGAACTATTCCTGAAGCAGCTGCGATCCCCAGACATGTCGGATATGTTCTTCTCGTCAGATCATTTCGGTTTCTATTTGAAGTCATATGGCACAGAATATGCTTTTCTACGTAGTTCTGGACGCTCTTTGCTTTGTCAGGCGAACCAGAGCCATGTGTCACAGTCTTTGTATAAGGTGCCGTTCTAATCTAAATACACTGTGCAGATTACGTTCTCGGTTTTGTGTTCGATTGTCTTTTTTATCATCACGTTGGTTGGAAAATGAAACAAACTTGTCCCGATTAGCTATACCGTTTTCTAAATCTATTTCAGTTTCGCGTCCTTTTCTGATGCCTTCCGTAGAGAATAATCTGACTAACGTTCGAAACTTTTATGATGATGCGGCACGATCCACTGCGAGCAATTCGCTTGCCCATCGCCAACAGACACGAATATTGCGGTTACGGAACTTCAACAACTGGATCAAAAGTGTCTTCATCAATCAGTACGGCCGAAAAGTTCGAATGCAGTTCGGCCGCGAATGTCGGCTCAGGGTCTTGGACCTTTGCTGTGGGAAAGGAGGTGACCAGATGAAATGGGCCGAGCAAGATGTCGATCACGTTACTTTCGTGGACATTTCCAGTGCTTCCATTGATGCTTGCCGTGGTCGATATAGACAGTTGCGCAACAGACGTCGTTATTTGTACTCTGCGGACTTCCACGTCGCCGATTGCACCTCCGCTCTTCCCGAGGCGGTTTTGAGAAGTGGTCCTTTTGAGGTCGTCAGTTGCCAGTTTGCAGCGCATTACGCATTTGAAAGCCTGTCCCAAGTTAGTATTTCGTTGATGCGCCCGCTTTTCATTGTTTCTTAACGCTCATTAGTAGTGGTATGTTTGTGTTTGTGATTACTTCTAACCTACAAGTGGCGCGAAATTGTATGGCAGCTATCAGAACTGCGTATAAATTCTGCTGGAAATCTCATCATTCGAATTTTCATTATGACATCTGTTGTGTCAACTCCAGTCGACTCTGGCATTCTTCTCTATGTCACGCCTAAATCGTGTTCTCTTTCGAGTGTTACCGATGACACTTGTCCAAAAACCCTTCATCGTTCGGCCGTTTCGTGAATGACTTCCTGTCATATCCCGTATCTTATGTTTTTCTCAAAAGCAATACGTGTAGATCAACTACAGTTTCGGTCTAGCTTCTGGTACCTCGGAGCTTGTCTCGCTTATCTCTGTTGCCTTACATTTTGGACTGTATCCTTTCTAGCGCGCTTCACCCGTTTGTTTCAGCTTTATCTAATTCGGTAGTTCTCTAGGTCGGTTCACAGAAACTTGAAAACCACGACTCGTACACGTAGTGAGTCCCAGGAATGCTCTACCACTTACTGAGTGACCGCGGTTGTCATCAAACTAGTCGAAATTCTGGTTGTTCGGTTTGGGTGTCGAGATATTGGCCTGTTCGCTGAGCTGAGCAGTTCGATTGCGACCGAATAGTTTCTTGCCGTAGACGTTATCGCTAACTCATGTAGCTCTCTTCTGACACACTGTCCAAGCGTCCTTCAATGTGGCGAGTTAGCTTTTTTCTATATCAACTTTATGCATTTCACTCACATTCCAAAGGCGTTAGTACTGTCAGAATATTCTTAGCACAGTTTGTGCGTGGCTTTCACCAATCTCTCCTTAATTAGTGGGTATCAAAATTATCCAACATCTTTTGATGTCATACTCATTCTACAGAACGCTTCTTTGTCATTCTCCGTTTCACTCCATTTTTTGTCAGGCTTGTTTCTTGTTGGTGTCTCTTTCTCTTTTCACAGGCACGGACACTTTTCAACAACGTGGCTCGTTGTCTCAGACCTGGGGGATTTTTCTTGGCCACCATTCCCAATGCCTACGAAATCGTTCGGAGAGCTAACGAAGCAGTCCATCCTACAAAAGACGATATCGATTTCGGAAATTCCATCTACTCTATCCGTTTTCAACCTGACATTTGCCAACGAACAGTGAACAGTGACACTTGCACCTGGGGTGCGCTTAAGTTCCCTCTTTTTGGAGCTCGGTACGACTTCCAACTGGACGGCGTTGTGGACTGCCCAGAATACCTAGTTTATCCCCCACTTTTTGAAAAGTTGGCTGCCGAGCATAATCTTCTTTCGCTCACTCCACCTATCCCTTTTTCTAAGTACTTTTATGACACAATTGTATGTACTGAAGATAGAAATTCCCACGAACTGCTCATCCGTATGGGTGCCTTGGAGACATGGAGTAATCCTTGGTGCACAGATTCTGATGTAACGAAACCAGCATCTTCGGAAACGGAGCAATGCAAAGAGTCAGCGTACAAGCATGTGGAGGAAAGAATTGCTCTAGACGACATTTGTCGGCATTCGCCGTCACTGGGAACCATGTCTGATTGCGAGTGGGAGGTTGTCAAATTGTACAGCTTGGTTTCACTTCAGAAGGAGTGAATTCTACCATTTGTTCACTTTATGCACTCGTTTTCAGTTGGTTTATAGCGCGATCACCGGTACGCCATAGCTCAAGTACACGCGTAGGCGGCCAGCCGTCAATAAACGATAGCAGACAGTGATGGGTTGTGGTTAAGGGAGCATCAGAGCGAGGTTTGATTAGGAGATATGTGAACCCGGGTGGCATACGAAGCCGACAACGAACGGCGCGGGCGCGTTCTGTGTCCGGAAAGACGCAGCTGTGTTGATCAATTTTCGAGTAACCAAACCGCTTACTACTTACCTGTTTGCAAATGAAACTAATTTTAGTGTATTGTACTACTGAGGCAAAGGTACGCGGCGCAATCCAAATTTTGAAAGGTCATACGGCTCCCGGCTCCATACGAAAATGGCGGGGATTTACTTGTCAGCGAAATCCTATCACTGTTCACGACGTTTTAGATTGATGAGAAGGGTCCTACCTCGTGGAGAGAGTCAATCGTTGTCTTGATCCACAAGAAAGGTTCCCGAAAAGATTGAACCGATTGCCGCAGAATTTCGTTTATCTCTGTTGTGTCTAAGCTTTCAGCGCGTGTTTTTCCAGAGAGCGACAAGCCAATCTTCTTTAAGGCTGACGTTGCATCGGTCACATCTTGACGCTTCGCCATCTACTCGAATTGTGACACCACGGACGACCAACAGTCGTAATGTTTTTGGACATCCGAGCGGCATTCGATTCTGCAGGTAAATTTGCCTTGTTGAACTCTACTAAGGAAAGGTGTGCTCGACAAGTTTGCAACCATCCTCAGGTCACTGATAAGTCACACATCAGACGAAGTTGGGACTTAGGACATGCTTTCCTCTTCGTTTGCTCTCACTAGCAGCGTCCGTTATAGTTGCCCTATTTCACCTTTACCCTTCAATTTCGCAATCGAAGATTTTGTCCAGTTAGCATCTGGTGTCCAGAACCGCAGCGTTAGGCTCCTCCTTGGAGATCAGGTCGCGGACTTAGATTACGCGGATGATATCACCTTGCTGGGGACGATCCACAAGTAGTCGAAAGTAATTTGTATCGCTTAGCGATGCAGACATTCAAGTACGGCCTGCATTTCACCCCAGGGAAATGTAAATCGCGGTCTCTTGCGACCGTGCTCATCATTGTTGACATTCTGGAAAAGTCGGTTGCTTCAGTTATCTAGGGAGTTACATCACGACTGGGGGTCCGTGTTGGAGAGGTTTCACAATAAGTCGCAAAGACTGCTTGCTTTCACCAGACACTTATGGCGGCGTCGCTATGTCGGTCCTAAGCTCAAGGGCTGGTGTACGGTGCCTCCGTCCATACGGCCATGTTGTACGGATGTGAAACCTTACGTGTTCGATCGGAAGACATGAAACGATTGTCAGTTATTGATAGTCATTATTTGCGATGGATTGTTCTCTTATGTTGGCAACATCACGTATCATTACGGAAGTTCGTGACCGAGTGCTTGTGGCGAACAGTCCCAGGCTCCAAAATGTTGTCCTCCGACACCGCATGCGTTGCCTAGTCGCGTATTACTTATGCCAGTTCATCGCTTTCTTCATCGAATTTTATCTTCGCTTCTCGAAAGCGATTGGAAGAAGTGCTTTGGATCAGAAGTATGAGGATAGCAACCCCATCATCAATCGGTTTAGTCCACCTTCCAGGCTGGGGATCACACGACATGGATGTTATGCTCCCCAGCAGGCATCAGTTTGGTTTTGCCGTGTCGTCTAATATTTAATGCTTAATCGAAAAACAAAGCCAATTTTATTTCGTCTTAACATTGTCTTCCATTTTTCAACGGTTCTGATGTCATATTATTTGTTCTCAGACTCCTTAATATATTTATACAACGCAACAATTCGCATTCAAATTGGGAAATTTCCAGACCTCTGCACAGCCCCTCCTAGCAGGGACCGTAGATAACCGTTCAGTCTAAGATAAGGCCGGCATTTTACGAGACCAGGTAGTGGACCCGATGCAATTAATGGGGGAACACCATTACGAACGGATTTTACCCGACTCACACCGTGTCTTTTTTAACGGTGCCGAAAACTAAGTGAGGAAGAAGGTTCACAGGCGTTGAGTGTCCGTTTGCAACTTATCCCCTAGTTCACATGTGAATGGCAATCAGAACTGTAGGCGAGGGTAGTGTTGGTGGGAGTGAAAAACTTTAACAACACCTATCGGACAGAGGAGTAAGATACAAACGGCACTTTGCTTTTGGTTTGGTCGTAAAAAAGTTGGGAACAAGAAAGTTCAACCCCTTAACCAAACTAACGTACACTTCTATCTGACCTAGTTGAGTTTTGCATCTCAGGCGTAAGCTCATCGGCCTTCAGAGCTCTATGAGACTAAGATGCTGGAGGGATGGCAGATGATATATCTTTTGATCTACTCGGGTCAGCAGAGACGATGCGGCGTTGTCGAGATCGGTCACCTTGAGTTGCTTGATGCTTGTGACTTTATGTTTGCTACGACGTTTGAGTGATGTAAAAGCGGTCCTTACGCAGGACTACTTCTTACCGACACAAATCGTCGATGCGAAGACGTGCCTACAAACCCAATCTTGGGAAACAAGCTATGGATCAGCTTATTCAGTGTTCGCTCGATCGTAACGAACGCATTATGGCGGCAAGTTGACGAACAGTGCTCAACGATATTTATTCAGAACGCAATGATAGAAAAGTGGATCCAATTAAACGGTTAGAAATATTAACATCTAGACGCGAGAAACCAAGTACAAGTGCACCACGAGCTTCGCAACTGCACCGATATGGTCTCCAATCACTGTTATGAACCATGCATTAGCCTGACCAAGTTTTTCCGTCAGCTTCTGCCTACTTTTATACCACCTTTTCGACTGGCCACTTTGCACACAACACCTGATGAACGCCGAGGAATTCGGTCATCGATTATACGGAGAACATGAGCTATCAGATGTAGGTGATTTAGGTTTAACTAACTCTGTTGTAGCACCAGTGTTCATTGCTAAACAGCAGTTGACAGACCTCATTGTTGTTCACCCAATGTTCTCACCAGTGTGGGCACAAGTGCTGGCAATGAATGATGCTAAATACATTGATGTTTTCGGCGTGCAAGGGTCCCGTTTCAGCTCCATGCAGTAACACTGGTCTCATCGTAATATCATAAATAAAAATAATAAATCGTCAGCTGTACGCTGCGCGACCACCACCGGTGGAGCGTGAGCTGAGTATACCGCGAGGACACTCACCCGTACTCAGATTCGAACCGGTGACCTTATCAGTGCAAACCAGGCAGACTACTCGGACACCGACCGTCAGACTGATACCCCATCGTCACCATAGATGAATTAGAATTTGGGAAATCGGCGGGGTTCGTTGGTACGCAAAGTTGCTTCTTCAATGATGCCACCATTTGAGTTGTTGCGAGGCTCGCTTAGTTCCGCCAAATGCACAGAGTCCGTGGCCGGCCGAGCAATACTGTTGCCATGCGATGACTCAAACTGTGCAGGTTGCAGCTGAACTCTCACCGGAATAATGGTGAATTATGGGTAAAAAGGCAATTACTTAACAAGTCCCATGGGATAGCCAGAATGAGAACCACAAAACGGAGAAAGGAAAGGATTTCGGCGGTTGATTGGGAAGATTGCTCACACTCAAAAGTTGCCTTCGACTTTAGGCACTCGATGATGTTTCCGGTTTCTAATTGTGTGGGGTTGCTGAAGTTAGATCTGGAAGGGCCAATTGAAGCTGCCCTGAACCACTCGGCTTGAAAACTGTAATTGCATTCGGACGGTTGAATAAGTTATTCTGATAGGCAGTTTGCTTTGTCAGCTTGTCGGAGTCATCTGTTGGAACCTTAGATACTACCGGTTTTCTCTTGTAAGCAGACCACTCCAAGACATATAACCTTGCATCTACAGAGCCGAGGTGTAATGGCCAAGCGATCCAAGGGCGTTGATCGATAATGTGATGCTTATGCCAGATGGGTCAATTGGATAGCCTGGCTGGTCACGTGACCAACACTGGCGACCCGCTATCCTCCCGATTACTGCTTGTTAGGCGCCACGGATACGTTCTGCAAGATACGAACAAATAGGATGATAGGCGAATAAAAGCTGCACATGTCCAATATCTTGGAACATATTTGGAACCGATCGGGAAGTCACCATTTCAGAAAACTTGGTAGACGACCGGTTAATGTATTTATGGTGATGGTCCATCACCATAAATACATTAACCGGTCGTCTACCAAGTTTTCTGAAATGCTGCACATGCCCAGTCCAACTGGGTATCCACAGTGATGCTGTTTTTGACCACAACACCTCACAACAGTGGGCGAGAGCGGAGGGCTGTTGCCGTTGTCCACACTACATGCAAGCGTGAGACTGCAAGGACGGGCAGGATCGAAGGGACGACTAAGTGAACGGCTGCAGATAAAAATGCTGTTCTATTCACCGCCGGCGGTCAGTGAATGGTAAAATTTGGAGAAGAGATTCATTCATTGAATACTGGGTGGAAGCAACAAGAGGAGATGTCTATATGTGTAGCTGCATCTAAAATTGCTGATACAATGACCTGTTCTTTTGGAGAGCGTTCGCTATACTACATGTCGACCAAGTGTTTGCCTAGGATTTTTGGGTTTTAGAGCACCCGTCGTGTGCCTTGGATTGTGACACACAACCTCAATCGTGGCGTCGGTTGACTTTGAAGTCAGTCTCTGCCAATAAGGTCACTGGGACCGTCACCGAAGTGGAAGGTTTCGGTGTGGTTCTCTCCCATCCATGCACTGCACGATCGACCGTTTCGTCTTAGTTTAGACTCATAGCGGAGCTGGGAGTGGAACTCGGCGCATAGTGCTTGGCGGCTTTTGCCATGATCACTAGACCATTGAGCTCCGAGAGTAGGAATTTTTAAAATTCCGACACCGACTTTGCCTTTACTACATGCGGCGGCAGGTTGTTCCATATATGCACTACTCTCCATTCGAAGCATAATTGGTGGGCGTCCCGATT